CACACACACACATACAAATTTAAGAAAAACAAGGGTTACTTACAATATTATAACAGTAACAAACGGCGCAGACAACTAATCACAAGAAAGCTTGAATATAATTTTAATATTATTACTAATGCATATTATGGTGTAATTGAAAAACATGTTTTACTGCCTACCTATTAATATCTCCTTCACTTCACTCTTGACTTCATCAGTTGCAAAGACATCTTGTTCCAGCCAAAAGAGGCAGAATGATGGATCAAGGAATGCAGACATCAAGTAAAGGTTATCTCCAAATGGAAGATCTTCAGCAGGCTGAGCTGGCACATCCATTCTGACATTCACAAAGATCCCCTTAAAACGCTGATGAAGTGATGTTTGCAGTGCTTTTATGAAACCGACCAGATGACGAGTTGTATTCAGCATGCTGGTGAGATGACTGTTAAGGGACAGTACACAGGGGAGAGCTGCACTAACAGTCACTACTTTCTCCCCTTGTGTGAGGTCTGTAGCTTGAAGAAAAGGGGACAGAATTTCTACAAGTTCTTTAAGCTGACTCCATTCTCGAGCTGACAGACACAGCTCTTTATGTCCCTGAGTTTCCAGCAGAACATTTAGATTTTGGAGATCCAGATCAGTGACTGCCTCCACAAGGCGAAGCGTTGAGTTCCATCTTGTTGATACAGCAGATGGGATGCTGTGACCGGCTCCATATTGACCCTCAAATGCTTCCTTCATGCTACATGTAGAATGCAGCAAACTGCAAAATCTTGTCAATTTTGCCATTGCATTGTTTATACATTTTGTTTCTTTCAGTCCATCTCGCACAACAAGTTGCAGGGAATGTGCAAAGCACTGTAAGCGCTGCTGCTGGCAACTTCTCTGGATGGATTCCACATCATCCTGGAACTCTTCACTCATTTCCTCCCATAAGTTGCCATTTTCCAGATCATTGTCACCATCTTCACTATCAGTCACAGTAGAGGGGAAACAAACTGTGAAAGCTTTTTTCATATTAGCAGCATTATCAGAGATGATGTAATCTAATTTGTGTTTTATGTTAAAGTTGTCACATATCTCTTCAAACTTTTCACTTATCCTTTGTCCAGTGTGTGACCCTGTGAAACGCTCACAACTTAAAAGAACTGACTGTAGTTTTGGGCCATTCTTCTCAAGTTCCATAAAATGAGATGTTATACCTAAGAAGCCACGCATGCTCCTGTCAGTCCAGATATCCACAGTCGCAGAAACAGTGTCTGTCTTCTCTAACTTGGATTTTATCTTGGACATTTTTTCTGCTGCAAGCTCACTCAGACGCCTGGTTACTGTGCTGCGACTTGGTGGGCAGTATTTCTCCTCTAC